AGAGACAGAGAGAGAGAGAGAGAGCGCTATATAGAGAAAGAGAGAGAGCCATATAGAGACAGAGATAGAGAGAGAGAGAGAGAGCGCTATATATATATATAGAGAGAGAGAAAGAGAGAGACAGAGCCAAATAGAGAGAGAGGGGGGGGGAGAAAGACAGAGAGAGATGAGAAAGGGAGATAGAATCCCGACTACAGATCGCGTACATGTGTGGGCATTCTGACGGCTGCGGGGCTCTATGCAAACCCAACATGGCAGGACTTTTCAGGTCGGTGGAGATGGCGAGAGAAAGATAGAGAGAGAGAGAGAGAGAGAGAGAGAGAGAGAGAGAGGGAGGGAGAGAGAGACAAAGAGAGAGAGAGAGAGAGAGAGAGAGAGAGAGAGAGAGAGAGAGAGAGAACCATATATATAGAGAGAGAGCTATATAGAGACAGATAAAGAGAGAGAGAGAGCTATATAGAGAGAGAGAGTTATATAGAGACAGAGAGAGAGAGAGAAAGAGAGAGAAAGCGCTATATATATATAGACAGAGAGAAAGAGAGAGACAGAGCCAAATAGAGAGAGAGAGGGGGGGAGAAAGACAGAGAGAGATGAGAAAGGGAGATAGAATGACAGAGAGAACGCACCTTTTCCTTCCTTGATTTACAACTGTTGTTGGAAACAATGGCCCCGGCGACTTGATTGCTGATCTCAAACGGCAATATGACGACGCGTGTCGGGACGCGCGAAAAGGGAGGTGCCGACGCGTGAGAGGGCAACACCGCGAACGAAGACGTGGGAGATTGCAACGCGAAGGAGATGGCGAGGTGAGGGATATGGCAACGAGGGAGAGAGAGAGAAGCGAGGTAGATGGCGAGGGAGACGGCGACGAGATGGATGTGTCGCTGGCAAGGGCGGGTGGTCCGGGCGCGCGACGGGCATTTTCGGCCGTGAGGGTTGGTGACACCTGCAATTGCTTGCTGCTTCGGACGATTGCAATGCCCACCTGCAAATTCGCGGAATGGCACCACCGTCATTTGAATGGCGGATACATTCGTGCGGGGCCCAAGAAACGACAGTGGGTGGGAAAAGTCACGCCAGATGACGCATTGGAACCGTTGATATCACGGTAAAATCCGCGCGGGCCCCGATAATCAAAAGTGGGCGGGAAAATTTGCGCCAGATGATGCGTTGGAACCGTCGATAGCACGGTGAAAAAAGGTCAGCCCTCTGGAAATCACGGCCCGCCGTCCCGCGGCAGTTTCGGATCGGGTGATTTAGTGAGGACGGTCCGTCAAAAAAGGGACTGCCTGATGTCACAGCCCCCGACGCGGCAGTCCACCATTACTGACCCTGTGGCGGGCAGCTGAAGGGCCCCTCAAGCCCCACTCACTGCACTCACCGTCACCCAGTCGGGCACCAAATGAATGGGGGTGGCTGTCACACCCATTCGCTGGTGTCATTTCTTGCATGTGCTGCCTTTGCGACGCGTCCACCATCGCTCGAAGTCGCCGGCATCATATTGCAGGCCCCTTGCGCATCCAGGCCTTCGTTCTTCCAACAATCATCGATAGCGGGGGGCGCTAACGAAAATGTCACGCGACTGTAGACCTTGTGCGTCGTCCCGTTCATGCTGTGTTGTTCTTGTGTCGGTTGGAGGCGTTTGTCGACTCCCAGGTCAGTAAGAACCCATCCAATGACACACGCTGACGTCATCATCTTGCACATGACGTCAGCGACGGGCAATGGCTTGCGGCTTTCACAGTCAAGATCGTCGGACGCCTCTGACGACCTCATCTGACGCGTGGAGAAAGTCGCATCGCCCTCGAGTCTTGGCGTCCTCAACATCGCTTGTTGGTACACTTTCTTGGACCCCGGCTCGCGGGTCATCTTCCCCCATTCTACTTAGGATATCGCAATGCAGTTGGTCGTGCAAGTCTTCTTCTACATCACCACCTGCTCCGTCAATCACGCACGAGTCGACATGCGCACGATCTTGAGTCCACGATGTCCGCAGCTCACAACCATGAAAGTTCCCTTCCACTGACACACGCTGACGTCACCATCTTGCGCATGACATCAGGAATTTGAAATGGCTTGCGGCTTTCGCAGTCAAGATTATCGGACGCCTCCGACAACGGCATCTGACGCGTGGACGAAGTTTCATCGCCGTTGCTCTTTGGCGTCCTTAAGATCGCGATATGTGATCACCGTTGCGATAACACATCATCCGATAGACGTCAACACCAAAGACGTCATCTGAAAACCGCGTGTGGATCGACTATCAGATCCCGTCCATCCATCTCCGGTGTTGACGTCTATTGGCTGATGTGTTATTGCAGCGCTGATCACATCATCCCATGTCCCCGATAGCGGAGCGCTGTGCTGGAAGCCTCACGACAAACGCGCACCTCCAACAGGAATCGCCCGTGTCGCACGCACAACCAACAGTGCTGAAGCCACCCATCCACAACGTTCAGCGACGACCCGTTGCACATAACGGATACCCATGGCGAATCTGAAACATCCCAGATTACCGTCGATCCCGCGACATCCCACCGCCAAGGGCCAACTTCGAGCTCGTTTCCGATCAACTTGGTGATTGAACATGTCTATCGCGGTTGTGGACGACATTAGGATCTTTTTCTGGTTGTCTTGAACGTTCTCTGTCTCATCGCCCGTTCTCGCACACGGAACTCGCAATGAGGAACTGCCACGCAACCGGGCGCGAGACGCCGAAAACGCATCGGCAACATTTTGGATATGGAACTAGCGCTTACAAGTTCCATCGCGCCCACAAGAAAACGTCACAGCACCGTCGCCCGTGTGGCAGCCCGTCCCCTCGCTACGATTCGTTTTGGGCGAACTCTGACGTGGACAATCCTCGCGACGATTACAGTCTCGAAATCTGAGCTGAATGAATGCACCAATGACCTTGTGGAACGATCAGCTCTCGATCCACGTCGATCACATTTCGATTTCAATTAGTCGTAGCTGCGTTTTTCAGAGCAGCTTAGGGAGGTGTGCGCGGGATTGCAGCGGGAGCGAGAGAGTGTTGTTCGTGCCACTTGTTCCGGATGGAGTTCCGATTCATCCGAGCTCGGGATGAAGGCAAATAGTAGATGTCATTCGCGATGCCAGTGGTTGGATGACTATGCCCTCCTTACGTCCGACCCATTGTTATCACGCAACGTCCCCCCATCGAGAGTTTTGAGGCTACCACCTATCCATGACAACCCGCCACTCATGACTTTTGTTGGTGTTCTTTGTCTCCCACGAGGGGTTAAGCAATTCTTAGGCTGGACGTTTTTATTCCGCCTCACTACGGAACGTGTGATGTAGTTCGGATAAATCCGAACCACAAGCCTCGGCACGTGGGAAGTCTCAACGGGAACCGCATCCCTCCGATGTCTCAGTGGAAGGGACAACGACGCCACAGGGGATCACTTTCGAAGTAAACATCTCCACAAATCATGACTCCGATAGCTCCCCATTTGCTTTTGCCTTCGTTTGTAGTTCGGATGAATCCGAACCACAACCACAGACGACTGACGGACGACAGCCGTGGCTTTTGTCACTGTGTTTTTTTCTTCTGCATTGGGTAGTGCAACACTCACACAGGACTTATCATTTCTGTGTCACTCCTAAACGTGTGATGTAGTTCGGATTAATCCAAACCACATCCCTCAGCGCATTGGGAGTCCCGAGGTGAGTATCACGCCCAATGACGAAAGGTCTCATCGGAAAAGGAAAACGACGGCACACGGCAGGCATCCTGAATATAACATACAATAACCGAAGGTGGGCACTCATGGCATTTGTTGTTGATTTTTCCTTCCGAGCGGGGAAATGTGAACATTTCGCAGGACGTCTAGGTACCGCCTGACTGAAACCGTTTGTTGTGGTCCGGATTAATCCGAACCTTATAGCTCGACGACAATAGAGTCTGATTTGTCTGCCACATCACACCGGCGGGTCTCATCAACTGGGGATGGGACTCTTGGCTTTTGTCTGAGTTGTTTTCTTGCACTTGGGGTAGTAATGCAGACATCGCAAAGGACGTGTTGCTTCCTCCTGGCTCCGCCTTCGATTTTCCAACTGTGTCTCATCCTTCTGCCACATCCCTCCCAGTGACGCGAGGTCGCTGGGCGGTGGCTCGGATTAATCCGAGCCACGAATGGTCGCACGACATCCCATTTAATGTCTATCTTTCCGGGACGGTAGCTCGGATTGATCCGAACCACGGATTGGTAGGCTTGGATGAACTTCTGTCTAGGACTTCTGTTGGCGGGTGGTTCGGATTGATCTGAACCACGGATCCGGAGCGGGGCGGTAGGCTTGGATGAGCTTCTCTCTTGCACTTTTGTTCAGCTCATGTTCACGATGATCGTGGTAGGTAGAGTTTGTGCTTTCATGGCTCTGCGAAAAGTAGTTGTCATGTCGACTGTGAGAAAACGTCTTCTGTGGATGAGGCGGTGTAATATGGGCTATACGGCGTCGGTGTGCTGTTCTGTTCCTCTCCCAGATATACAGAAACGGATGTTTTGCACACGACGGCGTGGGTCGTCCGACTGTTGTGTCCATCTCAATGTGCTTTATGGCGTGGGTTTTGATGATTTTAGGAAATCCCGCATCTGCTCTGGAACGGGTCCCTGCATGACTTTTTGAAAACACTCCATTGGCTTGGTGAACTTCTGATTGACGACCTTCTGTAAGGGCTTTGCAATGCGATGTGGAAAGATTTTTTTTTTTGACGATTTCCGATTGACGACCTTCTGTAAGTGCTTCGCCGATAAAAAAGTGTTAGGCGTCACAACTGGGTGTGGGCCTCGTCGGGGAAACTATCGTTCACCGACATTGTTTACGACGGTCTCCCCTTCCGTATCTCTATCCATGTGCGCGTGTTGTGTAGGGAGTTTCATGTCATCGAGTCCTTCGACAAGCATCGCCATGACACCCGAGAAACACATGCGCTTAGGGAAACTCTTTCCACCTTGTGCGAGATTGTTGCGGCATCATGACGGTCAAACGTGGATCGACGACAACATGTTGGAGTTCGGGAGCCTCATTGCACTGCCTGATGGTGTCCTCCATCGAAAGACCCTGGACGATAAGGGTAAACCAGTCCGCTTCCGTACCAGCTTCAGACGTCACCTCCACTGCGAGTACATCACATCTTTGCCACGAACTTGGGGAAGTACGCAGAAGCAAGAGTTGGTGGACTGCGCTCGTCATTGTTCATTCTTGGAACACTACCCACCCCGTTGCCCAGGGACTTCTCCACAAGCTCTATCATACTGTTGTGTGTGGTTGACGGATGACAGATGTCCTTTCGCTAGAGTGCTATGTGTGGCTTCTTCAAGCAAAAGTAGGAAACTTGTGGATGCAGTTGTGCTTGTGTCACGCAACGAGATGGTGCTTCAGGGATCCAAGTTCAAGGCGGTGATGTCTCGCCCAGATGTAGATGGGCGGTCAGACTTGGTGAGAGCAGGTCAGGTAAGAGTTTTTCTGTCATTGTGGGAAGAGGTGGAAGAGAAAGTGTCTGAAATACGTGATTGTATAGGGAATTCCTTAGCACAACGAGGAGGGTTTGTCAGGATGAAATACATGTCTGTGTTTTCGGAGAACGCAACAGTGGAGGAGCCGCAGATCCATGTGTATGGATCATCTATGAATGCTATGTATGGCTTCCGTTCACGACCTCGTCCGCGGGAATGTCCGTATGTCACAAGATACGGACGTGTGGTCAAACCTTGTGTTTAAGGGAAAAGGAGACTCCCTCATGACGACTAAAGTTGACACCGACATTGTGGCACTTGAACTAGCACTGCAGACTTGCGAAGGTGACGTTCTATAAGTGTTTCGGATTCATCTGAATCAACAATCAGATACATGCGGGTGCACCCAACGTTGAACGCGATGCATGAAGGGTTCCCCAAGGACGATCCTTAACCAAGCAACAACCCGTCGGATTCGGTCCGTGCGACTCGCTAACTGCACACCGTCGAGTTTATTTTCTTGCACGCCTTCGAGATAAGCGAGGTATCCAAACAATCCACCGCCCTCTAAATCGTCTGGCGCTGCCATGTTTCGTAATTGTCCGCGATGGTTTTCGGATAGGATGCCATGAAATGTGGTGCCTGTGTCCCTGGCCCTCTGTGCAACAGCCGCTGCATGGCAAAAAATGACGTGAGCGACGCCGGCCGAGGCTGCAATCATGCATATCCAGCATCACATCTTGTGTCACGGATTCATCCAAAGTTGCCAACTGCACAAGCATTTTCATTCTCATCCCCGAAAAAGTCGTCTGTTTCCCTAGACACCTGCTAAAAGAAACTCCTATTTCCGTCAATACGCTGCATACGGGCCGATGATCAGCACCCGCACAAAATACATAGCACGTCCCGATTGCAAAATCGTCGGGTCATTTTCTCGCGACGGTGAAGGCTCGTGATCAACCCCGGCGACAGCGACGATGGTTTTCGGATTGGATGCCATGAAATGTGGTGCCATGTCCGTAGCCCTCTCTCCAACAGCCGCTGCCTGGCCGAAAGTGACGTGAGCGACGCTGGCCGACGCTGCGATCTACCTTGTCCGACATGTCACCTTGTGTCTCGGATCCATCCGAAGTTTCTGGCCGCTCGAGCTTGTTCCTTCTCGTCACCGAATGATCAGCACCTGCACAGAACACAAAAACACTTCCCGATTGGAACATCCTGGGGTCATTACGTTGTCGACTCCCACATGATGATTACAGTGAACATCGACATGATGGCAGGTCCGCCTCTCCGATGTGGGTCTAACGGTGGATTGCGTCAAATCTGCTCTCGAAGATCCACACCGCAGAGGGGGGTCAGCAATCGACCACTGCTTGCTTGTAAAACATCATATGATGTGTCGATACAACCGACATTTTGAACTGATCGGTGAGCATCTGGTGCTACGCCAACAAGTTCGTCATGCGGTCGCGATA